AAACACAATAAATACAGTAATTAATATTGAAACATGGGTCAAACACTACAAAGCCCTGCCGACTGTATACTAGAAGACAAAGATGAAATTACTCCAGAAGAAGTACAGAGAACTGCGAAAGAATGGAAAATGCGATATTTTGAATATGAGGAGTTTGTTATGCAAAGAATTGAAAAAAAATTTAAAGACATAACATATTGTATATGACCGTATGAAACACGGTACAAGTGATATCTATATAGATACAGTTAAAAACCTGTAAACAAATATGACATTTGTTATAAAAAACGGCAACACAATATCTGAAGACATATATATTACCAAAGAGCTCAAACAAGAATGCAGAAAAATGTAAAAATGTTATATGTTATATTGGCAGAAAACGAAATGAACGCAAAAGCCTGTTTGGTCATAGGAGGAAATGGAAATGACTTATCAATCGAGGGGATGAATATTAATAACACCAAAACCTAAAGGTATCTTGGAATTGCAATATTGAATATCGGCGGCGATAATGATGCAATTGTGTTGTATGGAGCTAACAAATAGCCAACCGAATAAAAATCGGAATATATCAAAAGGTAGTTTAAATTATAGGCACGTATGATTCCGAACTATGTACCATGAATAAAAAAAGCAAATCAAGAATAAACGCCGCTGAAATGGACTACTGGAGGAGATGCCGCCAGAAAGCAAGGATGGACCAAGTGAGGAAAGCGATATCGTAAAGGAAATGGGAATGCAGATAAGCACACTAGAAACCATAGAAGTAAGGTGGCTACAATAGTTCGGACATGTTTATTTATTTATTTATTTATTCGGGATACAACAAGGTTTCCCCACAATAGTATCCACTAACAGAATTCATATAAAAAAGAAATCAACATATAACAAAATCAAATAATTAAGAACGAATCAATACATCATAAAAATCTAGTATCAAAACCTAGTAAAACAAATAACAAATTCTAGATATAACAAAAAATAGTGTTCCTAATTAACAATACAAGCCAGATTGAACTCGAATTACCCAGATATTCAATGACAGATATTCAAACTTAATATTCCATACAACCGAAGCAAAATTAAGAATGCTGTTCACATAAGCCATATACAAAGATTTGATACACTGTAGATTGGTAAATGAATTGGACATTCTAATAATACAACCTAACCTTCTGTTCGCCTTACCGATAAGTTCTTCTACGAGAATAACAGACTCTAGAAGACAGAATAACATAACAGAATAACACAACTCTAGAAGAATAACAGTTTGGACTCGAGCACTAAACCAAAATCCTTTACCTTAGCAAACACACTTAAGAGTTCGGGTCCAAGCCTATAGTTTTGATTTAATGTGTATTTTCTGGTGAACGTTATTCGACTGCATTTACCATAGTTTAGAAAGAGATAATTATTAGTACAGTAGGTTTGCAAACGATTAAGATCCATTTGAAGTTTTTCGCAATCAGAAGAAGATCGTCGGCATAGAACAAAAAATTACTATGGTGAAAGCACTCTTCGATACCGTTTATATAAGCCACAAACAGAACCGGACCCAAGTGACTACCCTGAGGCACTTCTGAAGTGACCGGAATGAAATTAGATATGTAATTATTAATTTTTACAACCTAGCATCTATCAGAGATATAAGATACCAACCACATCAACAACCCATCAGTCATGTAAAATTTTTGTAATTTGGTCAGGAGTACCCCATGATGCAGCTTGTTAAAGGTTTTACTGAAATCGATGTAAACAGCGCCGACCTGTTGATTTTCATTCAGACAACTTTGAATGTAATTTATGTAAGATACGAAATTGGATTCTACAGATCGGCTACGAAGAAAACCATGTTGCTGCTGCATAATAAATGGTTGTATTGAACGGTATAATTTATCATAAACAATTTTTTCAAAAACTTTGATAAAATAGGAAGAATAGAAATAGGGCGGTAATTTGAAACACAATTTCTACTTCCACTCTTATAGATGGGACCACTCTATTTCCACTCTAATGGAAATACTGACTGAGCCAAGGAGCGACTAAAGATGATAAAGTGCGGTTTAGCAAGTTCATGTCGCCAAGAAAATACCTGGCAACCCGTCAGGACCTGAACTTATCTTATTATCAATTCGAGTGAGGGTTTACGCCACATCCTCGAATGAGAACCAAGGTTGGAAACTGCAGTTTACAGTAGAACGTGGTTGTTACTGAAGTCCACCCTGAATGAAATCCGAACTAAAGAAAGAGGCGAATAGTTCGGATATTTGGTGACCACCTAAATTGCCATTATGTTCCATACGAGCCGGAAAACTGTTGCCATAATGTTTTTTATGTTTTGCATAGGACAACAGTTGCGATGGAAAAACAATCAAAGTAGATTGCATGTTGATTAGATATGATTTATAATCACTCAAGATCAATGTCTTATACCTTCTACGTAATACTTTGAAAGAAAGAAAATCCGCATTCGGTTCAACTGGCTGTAAAATTTATTTACGCATAGATTCATTTCGATACCATTAAATAAATCATTCCAGTCTACACTGAGAAGAACATTTTTTATAAGACTGAAGGTGTCCAGATGGTGAGAGAAACCGGGCAGAATGGAAGAGACTTTTTGAGCGGGCCAGGATCCACAAAGGATTATCGGACTGATGATCATGAATGTAATGTATTTGAAAACGCGTTAATCTAAACATTATATATAACTTGGTAAATATCAATATTGGTGGCGTAGAAATTTAAAGTGTGTTACAATCTGCTACCAGTTGATTTCTCATACTTTTCCTTGATTTCAAGCTTCCGTTTTTTTCCATTTTGCCAATTCCCTTCATTTAGTCCTTTCGAATCCATATACTTCTCAACTTCCACTCTCCATGACCACCTTGGTCTTCCTCATGTCACCTTGGATATATCCATCTGTAATAAATGGTAGGTGGTCCAACACGCTAACAAAATGGTCCAACGCGCATAGGAGTTCTTCTTCCTTCCCGTTTACCTGTCATCATTTTCTTGATAACCTCCAAGTTTGGCATATGTTCCATATGACCCGCTCATCTTATCCTTATGATTTTAACTATATCAGGGTTATCGTAAATCCGATATAGCTCAAAATTATATTTTCTGGGTTTGCTCGACCACGAGTCCAAAAATCCTTCTGACTACCTTACCTTCAAAGAAGATGGACCTACCTCACTAGCGTATTGTATATTGTTATTTTTGCCTGCAGGTGAGCAGAAATGTCTCTGAGTACCATGAAGACATCTGTTTGCGATATTAATGCGTCTGATTTCATCATTACATGTATTGGTAATGTTCATGAGATATCAAAAATACACAAAACTATCAACTTGTTCAAAAAAGTATTCGCTAAACTGAACTGGTGGCAAAAACTTGCTTGGCGGGTTTCTAGTCTCTAGTAACAATCATGTGCTTTGTGTTCTCCTACTTAACAGTCAGGCAGACTCGTTTTGCACCTTGTTCCAGTACAATGAAGCGTTNATCAACTTGTTCAAAAAAGTATTCGCTAAACTGAACTGGTGGCAAAAACTTGCTTGGCGGGTTTCTAGTCTCTAGTAACAATCATGTGCTTTGTGTTCTCCTACTTAACAGTCAGGCAGACTCGTTTTGCACCTTGTTCCAGTACAATGAAGCGTTTCTTTTGCTGTGACCGATAAAATCAACATCGTACCGTCCCATCTTATTCTAATTTCTCAGACTGCCTTTTCCGGTGCGAGATTAATGATGATCAGTGAGACTATCATCATTTTAAGACCTGCAATATCTACCACACCGACTAAATTATAATCTTGAGTATATTTTTGAGTTGTTTCAAGTATTTTACATAAAAAAACTCTTTTCTAAAAGTTGCATCATCAATCATTCTCAAGATAAAAAATTATTTGTTACCAAAAATTCAAAATATCGTCATTTTGCGCGTTCTATTTTTCTCAAAATTGAATAAATTTTTGAATTCTTTGAAGTATTTTACATGAAAAAGTTAATAATCGTTGCTTTGATATGAAATATTTTGCACTAACAGTACAATAATTGAGGATACCATTATTCTGCAACTTGTGGCGACCGCTACACCAACTAAATTGTGTTTTTTAGTACATTTTCGAATTCCTTGAACTATTTTACGTAAAAAAGTACCCTATACTAACAGTTGGGTCACCAATCGTTCTCAAGATAAAAGAATTTTTGTTAAGAAATATAAGTTGGGTTAATAATGTCTGTTCTAATTGATTGCAGTCTTTGTCTCTAGTTTTATACATTACATTGGATACTTAGATTTCTATTAAGAGAAGAAGTTGTCATGGAGGACTCTAAGGAAGTTGAAACTGTAACATCCTCCCATACAGGCATAATTAACCATTAAGATATACAAGAGACACCCAAACTTTAATAAATAAACAATAACCAAGATATTAGAAGCCCTCATATTAATTGATAGTTGATCTTTTCTCATTTGTAAATAAGTACTTGATAATAATAGTAGTTTGGTTAAGAGGAGTGGAGTGGGAAATTGTGGATGATGATCTTGATCAGAGAGTGAAAGAGGACAATGAATAGAACAATTCAAGTAGAAAGGCTACTAATCCAGCTGGATTTTTCTTAATCCTACTTAAATGGGGTGTTAACTAATCCAATTACAATTGTTTAATCATTTATTAAACTTAACTCACGTACAAAAAACGTCTTATTGACACAAACACACCAAGAAAGCAAATTGCAATCTACTATTGTTAAATTTATCAGTTAAAAATTTTTACACAAAATAACCTAAATTTTCGAAATCAAACTGGAAAGAAATTTCTACATCTCCCGTTATTCTCAAAACAATTAACAAGGCGGAAAGAAAAAAATTTTAAGCTTTTAGGTGCAACAAGTAAAATTATCTATGAAAATTAAAAGAAAAAATCACATCTAGAAAAAATAAATCTAGACAAAAAGTATCTAGCTGAAAAAAAATCAATCTAGATATTAAATATTCGCTAAAAAAATAATTAAACCAATTTAGAAAAAAAATTAAATTGGAAAATTAGATTAGAATTAACTAATTAATCGATTGATGTGAAAAATGCTCCAAAACCAAAGGTTCTTTTCATTGAATCCCAATAATAACGTTCCCAATTTTGTTTAGTCACTTCCATTTCACTTTTAGGTACCCCAATTTGTACCACAGTAATTTCCGTATGATCACTCTAAAAAATATTTATATAATTTAAAATTACCCAAAAAATTAAATTAAATAATTACTTTTTCATCTATATTAATTGTAACTGTTGAATAATGCCCATCAGGCCACTGCTTATATCTCCATTGTTGAACAATCTTTTTCCCAGGAATTAATTCTTCAAAAATCCCATTAATATTTCCACCAAACAATTCAAATTTACCACCTTTTGAGGGTTCCAATTTAACCGGCCCTCTTGTAAATGCTTGGACCATTTCTATACGGGTCATTGCGTCGTAAAAGTCTTGAGATTTACATTGAAACTTCTCGGTGATTTTGATAGTACCCGTATCAATTTTTAATCCGATTTGTTTTGAATTGGAAACAATTGGGGCCATATTAATCTTTTTATTGAACCCACTTGTTAATGTTTTAACACCATCAGGCTTAATTTTTTCGTCTTTTTTTGGTAAAATCATTCCTTTTGAAAATTCTTCTTTTAAACTAACGATGTATTGGGTTAATTTTTCCCTTATTATTTTTCTACCTTCTTTATGCATGATTTCTTTTAAAATTTCTCCTTCTTCGTCGCTATCATTTAATGTTATTTGAATCTAAAAATAAATAAAAAATTAATTAATAAATTAAATTTAAAAAAAAAATCTTTTTTGAGGTTATGTGATGACGTTTTTAAATGTCAAAATAAAAAAAAATAAATTAAATTTATACTCAACCCTTTTTCTAAATGAAATAATCTTCATACCTCGACTTCATCCACATTATTTTCTTCCGATAGATTAGGAATGGTAACTTTTCCAGAATGTTTCATTCCCGTTCCATCTTGCAACGTTCCGGACCACTTCAATGTAACATTCCATTCATAAAAGAATATTAATTTTCCTTTTCTGTTATTAGCCGAGGCTTCGCCTTCGCAATCATCCACCTGCGTCACCACTAATTGAGCCAATTCGCTCGGAATCTCCACATTTTTAAACAACTCCTTCAAACGATCTCGCGACCAAGCACTCGCATTCTTTTCGGTCCAATGCCAATTATTTACATTAGTCGCATCGGGACGCTCTTCTACAATCCAACGTGGGTCTCCTTCGCCCCATTTAGCCATATTTATAATAAATAGTTGTATAAATGTGTTTTTTTGGAGGTTATGTTCCCTTTTTTTGATGGAAACGTCACTTTAAGAATTAAAATAAGTTTCACGTGGTTATTTAACGCTCACTTTTAATTTCTTTTGAACTCCTTGGAATGTACGTAGCAATTTGAATAGAAATGTGCGCTTTTTGTGGGTTTATTGAGAAAATCTAGAAAATTCGATTCTTAATTTGCTCAATAACAAATGATTGATGTTTAAATTAATAGATGGCGCTGGCTTAGTTACTTTGATTTTAATAAAAATAATTTATATTTTTATAAATATTAAACACTTTGATATAGTACGTTTCATATCATTATATAAATCGAATTAAATTTAAATTATTTAAGTTTAAAAAGAGTTTTATTTTTATGATTAATAATTTTTAATGATACAATATTCTTCAATAGATGGCGCTGTATTCGAAATTATTTAAATTTTTATAAACAATAAATACTTCGATGTAATACGTTTCATACCATCATAAAGTAACGAATTTAATTTGAATTATTAAAGTTTAAAAAGGATTTTATTTTTATTATTCTTTTAATGATTAATAATTTTTAATGATACAATATTCTTGAATAGATGGCGCTGTATTCGAAATTATTTAAATTTTCATAAACAATAAATACTTCGATATAATACGTTTCATACCATTATAAAGTATCGAATTTAATTTGAATTATTTAAGTTTAAAAAGGATTTTATTTTTATTATTCATTTAATGATTAATAATTTTTAATGATACAATATTCTTCAGTAGATGGCGCTGTATTCGAAAGTATTTAAATTTTTATAAACAATAAATACTTCGATATTATACGTTTCATACCATTATAAAGTATCGAATTTAATTTGAGTTGTTTAAGTTTAAAAAAGATTTATATTTATTATTTTATTAATGATAAACAAGTTTTATTAGCACATATTATACTACAATAGATGGCGCTGTATTCGAAATTATTTATAAAGAAAATAATTATAATTAAAAAAATTAATAATAACATAATTATAAATCAAAATTATAACAAAAATAATAAAACTATAAACAAATTTATTTGAATTTAAAAATTTCGAATCTAACCTCACATCTATTTACATTATCCTGTCAAAAATGTCAAAGTTAAGTTAACCTCAAAATTACAAAAATTTTATATTAAAATTACCAAAAAGTTTAAATAATCTTCTAAGAATGAAACTAATTATATATTTAATTTTATTATTACATTTATCCTCATCGAACGGAGAGCATCTCTTACAATCAATACAACAAACTCAAAATGAAACTTTTAACCCCCGAGGACCCAAAGTGCTTTGTTCGTTTCTTTCGTGGGAATTCATAACGTGTTTAGAACCTGAAGATCATAAAGGTAACAAGACTTCTCGCGATGAACTTGGTCGTGGATGTGTCCATTTTGGTGGGATGCGTTATGAAGAGGTTGAACGAACGAAGGTGGTTTGTAAAGTTTTGGATGGTATCGAATGTTATGGAAATACGACGTTTTTTAGAGAAGGAGTGCCTTGTATTAAATATTCGGAGCAATATTTCACCACTACTTTATTGTATAGTATATTATTAGGTTTTTTGGGGATGGATAGGTTTTGTTTGGGTCAAACTGGAACTGCTGTGGGGAAATTATTAACATTGGGAGGATTGGGTATTTGGTGGATTGTTGATGTGGTGTTGTTGATTACCAATAATTTAACCCCTGAAGATGGTAGTAATTGGAACCCTTATGTGTGATTAATATGTTAATTATGTAAATAAATAATTTAAGTTTTTATGCTTATTTTATTCCTTTATATGTATATTTATTTTTGTACAGGAAAGCTTTTAAAATAAAAGTATTCTAGTTATATTTAGTGCATCTAGTGTAAGATAGGTTACGCTTAGTTGCTCTTAAACCCACCGTTTCATACTTTAAGATCAAACTTTTTATGCGTCGCTTTAAAGTTTGTCTTCAGTAGGGTCATTACTGATCCACTAAAGTAAAATGATGACTTTGGGATATGATCAACATTGATTATAATCCGCTTGACGTTTGCTTGTATCGCAACGGTAAACGTTCAAAATTCTGATTTACTTTTATAACTGAAGACGTTATTTTTATCTTCAATATAAGCATAAATATTGAGTCGTTATTATCTACTGTTGTTTATAACTTTATATATCGTATTATAAGATGATATAGGTCACAAAAAGTTTATAATTAGTAGTTATACTATAAGATCGAGCTGCTATCTAATAATTTCGACTTAAAATTAAAGATATCTTTCAAGACAATATCAAATTCATCAAAAAGACCAAGTTTTTTGTAATCCTCAGAAATTTCTAACATAATTTGATATGTCACTTCCTATATATGACATTAAAGTTCGCTTTTAAAAGCATAGATGGCCCAATTTATTCGTGTTTTGTTTTCGGCCATCTTGATTTTATAAAAGTATAGATATCTTGGTTGTTATAATACCTAGATATGTCGAGTTTGGACTCATTTCAAATGTTTTTTAATTATCTATCGCTTCCTAAAGATCTTGGAAAGTTATGAAATACCTTGTAGTCAACAGCTTTTATGTTGGGGAGAAAAAATTACAGTTTGCGAGGCTTCTCAGGTTGTTAGTTTGCGAAATCCTTGCAATATAGCAATGTGGAATGCAAGATTGCTTTATCAAGCCCGAAAAGTTTATGATATCATAGAAATGAATAGATTAAGACAATTCAGAAACAAATATAGGCGACTATCGGCACTGAATGGGTATTATACTTGAAAAAACTGTCCAAAAACATGTCATAAACTTTGTGCCCATGTCGGAAAGAGTTCTGCAACTACAAATCAATGCTGGTCCTGTACCGGTAAACATCATTCAAGTAAATATATGCTTCCAAAGCAGACAAAAGTGATGTGCAATGCACTGGTGCGAATTTAGCGCAATATAAGTCGAGTTAATGCTGTCAGAGGAATAACATCGATCACTTCGCCCGTGCGTGTTGTTATCAGGTGCTTTAGTGGAAAACATGCGTTTTACCAAAGAAAATTTACGTGAACTAAAGAAGTTATTTTATAGCTCCGTTAATGAACTTTTAAAAAATGACTCTTTTATGAGCCAAGTGATAAATACGGTAAAAGAGCATTTCATTGCGGAAATTGAAGAATTAAAGAAGGAATGCGACACGTTTAAGAAAGAAAACCGGTATTTATCCGATAAACTGGATGAGCTTGAACAATACACGCGACGAAACAATGTGCGTGTATTCGGCATTTCTGATAACGTACAAGATGTGGAATCTGAGGTTTTATCGTTATTTAATAACAAACTGAGTGTTCCTGTTAAAGTCGAAGATATAGATAGATGTCATAGAGTGGGTGCAGCGAAAAAGTCAAATAATGGTTCGAGGCCAATTATAGTAAAGTTCATTAGTTACCGTACGAGGGAGATTTAGTCTGTAAAGCTAGAAAAAGGCTCAAGGGTTCTAAAATTGGTATACAAGAGGACCTCACAAGCAAACGCTATACTGCTTCAATTGGCTCGCGAAAGGGTTGGGAACGGAAATGCTTGGTCAAGGGATGGTGCGATAAAAATACATATTAATAATAGAATATGTACTATAAAAAATGCAAATGATATTGAGGATCCGCTCACTAAGGCATCAAGGTTATCTTTAGCTTAGATTTTATTTAATGTTATTGTATTACTTTTTATGTATCATACTTTTTTTTTCTCTCTTTCTTTTCTTCTCTCTTAACGCGCATGGGGGGAATGGTGTTTCAGCGCAAACTTCATTTGTTAATATTGTAAAAGTCGTTTCATTAAATATTGAATTTAATCTTAATACTTTTTCAATTTGAAATAACTTTTTTTTTTCTTTTTCTTTTTTGGTCTTTGCTTTTCTATTGCTATGTTATTGAATAGTTTATCTGTGGCTCACATAAATGTAAGATCGCTTCTGTCTGGTTTTTTTGATTTTAAAAGTCATATACTACATTCGAATTATGATATTGTAGCTGTTACAGAAACCTGGTTAAACTCGACTATAAATAATAATTATGTTTACATCGAAGGTTACAATATTTTTCGAACCGACAGAGATGGACGAGGAGGAGGAACAGCTATATACGTAAGTGATAAAATTAAAGCGGATAGCTTGAACACTAATAATATTATTGAGCAAACCTGGGTGGAAATGAAAATAAAATCAAAAGTGGTTATAGTAGGTGCGGTTTATCGTCCACCAAATTTAAATTATAATGAATTTCTTAATGCTTTGGATGCTGTTTTTTCCGATTTTTTGCCGATGTGTGACGATATTTTTCTCTTGGGTGATATGAACATCGATTTATTTTCTTGCTCTAACCCTGCCACTGAAAAGCTTTTGAGTTTTCTTGAAGCGTATAGCTATAAACAGGTTATAAACACTCCTACTAGAGTCTCTTCTTCTACTTTTTCCTTAATAGATCTAATCATAATTCCTGAATCAATATCGCTTATCGGTGACTCTGGCACTGTTGATTTAAATAATATTTCTGATCACTTTCTTGTTAAATGTACTCTGTCGATGGCAGTTGAACGTGAAACTTATCCAATATTTAGAACAGTCAGGGATTATTCGAACTTTAAACAAGAGGATTTTGATAATGATTTGCGCTCCATTGATTGGCATGTAATGTATCAGTTGACTGACATTAACGATAAACTAAATTTTTTCAATACACATTTACTTTATGTATTTGATACACATGTGCCAGAGAAGATTATTAAAATCTCGCGACCTTGTGCTGCTTGGCTAACTCCGGTTGTTAGGACTATGATGCATTTAAGGGATAAAGCATTGAATCGTTACAAAAATACTAAGGCACAAGAACATTGGGAATACTACAAGTCGCTAAGGAACTATGTTACATCCGCGGTACGTAGGGAACAGAGGGTTTACATGAATACTATTTTTCAAAATAAAAATACTCGCGATTTATGGAAAACATATAATAAGTTGGGCATTGGGCGTAAGCATAGACCTTCTGTTCCTGAACGTTTGTGTGATGCAGATGAATTCAATAATTATTTCCTGAACAATTCAAATAATAACATCGATCATGATTTATTACAATATTATAACAACACTACGTTACGAAATTTTAAAGAATTGTTTGCTTTTCATACTGTAACACCGAGTGAAGTTTCTAAAGTTATATCATGTATTCACTCCAATGCCGTTGGAAGCGATCTTCTTGGCATAAATACAATAAAAATGTCGTGTCCATTCTTATTAGATATGATTACGCATATCATTAATACATGTCTCTTGGAAGCCGTTTTCCCTGACTGTTGGAAGATTTCTATAGTCACTCCATTGCCGAAAGTTAACTCTCCTAAGTGCTATACTGATTTTAGACCTATAAGTATTTTACCTGCTCTTTCTAAAACACTAGAAAAAATAGTTTGTGCTCAGACATCATTCCTGATAATCAGTCAGGGTTTAGACCGGGTCATAGTTGCAATACTGTACTAATGGATGTTGTGGACGGTGTGTTGCGGAGTGTCGACAAGGGAAATATGCATGCAATGATATTATTAAATTATTCCAAAGCATTCGATATGATAAATCATCATTTGTTGTTAAGCATTATGCACTACATTGGTCTCGGTCAAACGGCAATTGATTTTTTTAAACATTATCTTCTGAACAGAAGGCAACATACGAAAGTTAAAGGCTCATTATCTAAACCAGAATTTGTCTCTAAAGGAGTTCCTCAGGGCAGTATATGTGGTCCTTTGTTATTCATCGTTTATACTAGTATGTTCTAGAGTAAAATTTTAATTTTTATTTGTTATTTGCTTTATTCATGCATTCAATTTTTGTTTTTTGTATTTTGTATTTTTTGTCTTGTGCGCTGTATTCATTTTCACTACTTACTTACTTAGAAGCAATATGTTGTGTTCATGGGGACTGGCGGAAGAGCAGACCTCACTACTTTGTGGTGTTGTCTGACCCAGCCACCTGTTAGCCTTTGCAATTTTGTTGTAATTTTGTTTTTGTAACATTATACTTATTTCTTATTATTATATGGTTTTTGTATTTTGTTTTTTTTTTATACTTGTACACTAATTGTAAGGGTTAATAAAGGCATTATTATTATTATCGGAAGGCATTTTTTGGAAATGCACTTTGTGTAGGGACCGAGCGAATCACTCCATTATCATAGATGAAGACCCTATAATGACTTATACCTCATCAGTACCTACCGCTGTCGTAATGTACCAACTTTTAAAGTCTATCCAGTCTGAAATAAAAGACATGAACGTGAAATACGGCGAGTTGGTCTATTTCGTTTTATGGAGACAAAATTACCGAGTTCGAAAATACTTTGAAGGGTTTCGGCGATAGAATAGTCTTTAGTTGGTGATATGACCTCACGCGTCGAACGTCTTGAACAATACTCTAGATTGAATAATCTAATTTTGTCTGGAATCCCTGAAAAGCGCGACGAGGATCTGTGTTCCACTATATCCAAGATCGGAGAGGTTATTAATTGCCCAGTGACGAAAACTGACATGGATGCTATTCATCGACTTCCGTCTCGGTCTGAATTTGGTGATCCTAATAGAAACCCACGAAATATCGTTGTCAAGTTCGTTTCTCGCAAAAACAACGGCGACGGATCTCCCGGTATAATTATACCAAACATAACTGATAGATTGTTTGTAAATGAACATTTAACCATTAATAATGCAGAGTTGTTAAAATCCACAAAGGCGGTGTGTCATGAGAAGGGTTATAAATATGT